TGATCAAGCCGCATGTGTGCGCGCAGACATGCAGTGCACACACAGCCCCGGAGTACGGTCTTAATGGGGAAAAAGCAAAAGCTGCGGCTGTGATATAAAAAACGCGATTCCACGATGAGCGTTCGAGCACGGATTTGGGCTGTAAATTTTGGGATGTTTCACGCTAACGAATTTTTCGACGAAGCGAGAAATTTTCAACAATTAAGATCAGTCAAACGAGTTTTATTCAAAAGCATCTCTCTCTCTCTCTTGTTCGCATGCATAAACTGACTTGACGTCCGTCGTGTATACACATGCGCGCGTCGTACTTCTGCTCTCATTATCGGCCACCAAGATAGAAACAAGGACAGAGTCTTATAGACCCCAGTGCATAAAACACGTCCGAGATATATAGCTCTACGTGCATATTTACGCTCACAGCGCTACAGCACATGCACTCACACACGTGCACATGTATACGCTCGAGCTCGTGTACGTACTCGTGTATGTGCGATTCCCGCGAAAAAGTCGCCACTTGCGTGTCAAACGCCGACTACTGTGGCTACTATATAATAATCTTCTTCCTCTGGCGCATGCAGCAGCGACTTTTTTTTCTTTCTCTCTCTCTCTCTCCCTTTTTTCCACCTTTTTTGCAAGGCCTCAAGGCGAACGCTCCACGGGTTATTATATTATGTAGCGTTTATTGTTATATTACATATGTGTTTGTATGCGTCTATATGGAACCTACGTGATACGTGCAAATATATGTACATATGCACGGTTGTTGTTGATTTTTTAATGTTTCTGTGCATTATTAATTTTTTTTTTTTAAGAGTGAAAAAATATAGACTGACGGAAACGCGTATACGCATGTACACGCGTATAGGCTACGCGGCGTGGTCGTGCTGATAGCACAGGTGATAATTTATTAAAGAGCACATGTCCGGTGAAAATTGCAGGGTTCGCGTATCGCGCCCGCACCCTATACCCACACACAGCTCCAGCTAGACGTGCACACACACACGTGCGTGTAGAATTCGTTGACGCCAATTTTTCGGTGCTTTTTGCCGATGAAATAATACCGTAAATGAAGAAGAAAAAACAACTGTTCCAATCGACGATTATAACGTAAAGTAAAATATACCATAGGAAGAGGAAAAAAAATGGCAATTGTTTGATTGGCACGAGTCGTATTAAAGGAACAATCCCGTTTAATATAAAAAACCAACAAACACGGTGGCGTACACGGCATGTATATTACAGGAGGCTTTGCGTCGTTAAGTTCGCAGGCATTGGCGCCGTTCGTTAAAAAAGAATATCTTCTCTAATGAGAAGGAGGAAAAAAGAGTCCTGATAGCTGGGCCCCGACTCGAAGGGGTTGTTCTTGTTGTTGTTGTGTTGTTGTTGTTATTGTGCACCACCCAAAATGTATATACAGCTCGTACGTTTTTATAAAAGCGCGTAAAATGCCTCGCTAATAGAGAAGGCGTTATAAAGCCTCTCTCTCTCTCTCTCTCTCTCACACACACAAACATAATCGCACATGTATATAGCGCGCGCAAGACAAGAGAGAAAGAGAGAGAGAGAATATTCATCTGAGAAGAAGAGGAAGCAGCAGCGCGTATATAGCACATCGAAGGAGTTTTAATGGGTTTTCAAGTCAAGGCGAATAATGCGCCAGTTGGGAGGTGCACACATACACACACGCATACGTACACACATATACCAGCAAACCTCGCACACTCGCGTATCATATATATGCTGAAAAATTTCCAACTTATTCTTACGAGGTCTGTTGGCACGAGCACGAGTCTCTCTACACAGAGCACGCAGAGCTATTGTTAACATACACGTGAATAACACTGGCGAGGTGCAAAAATATTAATTAACGCACTTGCGCCGCGCCGACGAGGATGATTACTTTATCAAAGCGGTCTGCGCAATTATTAATACAGGTGGCAGAAGTATATAATAGTCCGTTAATAAATTAAGCACAGATAAGCAGAGTGCAAGTCGATGTATATAAAATATATTATATACAGGCTTAAAACATGCAAACCGCAAACTATACACACACAGAGAGCGAGCGTCGAGACATGCCGCGGATTAGATGCGCGGACAGGGCACGGAGAGCACACACATTCGATATTATGGCAGCAGCAGCGGCTAAGGCAAGCCTAGGATTCAATATTAATGAAGCAAGACCTTCCTCGGGCTAATGGCAGCACGGAGTAGTAGTGTAAGCCCTCTTATAACCCCAACAGCTGATTGTGCTCGGCAAATTTCGTTGATCGTCTTACGGCAGGCGGAAAAGGAAAGAAATAAATGAAATACGCGAAAGACGCGCAGTGTGTGTAACGAGTGTTTCCGTAAAGTATCCCATCAACGAGCTCGTAACTCTTTTCTCGCTCTTTTTCTTTCTCTCTCGCTCGGGCGCGCGGCTTTCATCGCTCGTGGTCTGCGTATTTTTATTATTACATTCACTCATATTGCACTCGGCCACTTGGAGCGACGCACCTTTTGGCCGCGGAGCACGCGCGTGCTCCAAAACCTTCGCGCACGCGGATTAGAATTATTTTACGTATAATTAATTCGGCGCGTTGAACAATTTTTCGCTGAAATTCGGCCGGAGCTTCTGAGAAGGCCAGAGATTCAGAAGGTGTATATACAAACGAGCTGTGTGCAGGTTGAGAAACACTGCGAGCCGAGAGCCAAGTTGAAGTCTCGACACACGGCTATATGCTCCGCTCGTGTGCCAGTGTGTGCTTGTGTTCGTGTGCCGAGCGAGCGAGTGCTCGGTGTGCATCACACACGGACGTACGCGAATACATGCACAGTCCCGCGGGACGTTGTGGGCGTGTAAGCTGCCTGTACGCGCATATATACTCGCCGGTTTTATTTCGTGCTTAGCCGCAGTTATATATATTATACCAAGGTTTCGTCGCTATACACAGCCGAGCCGCGCGATCTCTTGGTGCGCTCGACGAGTCTGGGGCCGCCGACGCCGCTGCTACTCGCGCCGAGCCGAGTAATGCGAGACTAATTTTCTATTAGAGTTGATTTATTTCGATTTCAATGTATGCACGCGCGCACTGCGTTTTCCACCACTATTATATTATACGTTTACACGCTGAGAAGCCCTGGACACACACACGTACGCTATAAAGGCGAGCTTATTTTTTGCGCGCCGCTTCGATTACATTATAAACAGCTGTGAATCGCCGCCACTGCTGCTGCTGCACTGCCACCGATGCACAGTAGTGGCATAACTGCTCCTGCTTTCTCTGCTGCTCCGCGCGAGACCGGAATACGTAATGCGACAGTTTTTTTGCCCAATCGCGTCCAAAGCGTAAAAATGCGTCCAGCGAAAGTATATCATCCTGGCTAATTACCATAGGCTTGAAAACTTGACAAAACCGATTGAACTTTTGTTCACCTCGATGATCGCGAGGTGATATTACCTTTTTCTTCGTCTTGGTGCGGGTTTTTTTTTAAGCAAATGCCGTGGCATAATTATGGCCTTTGTATAATATTATGATAATGCCAAAGTCTTCTCTTTTTCTTCGTAGAGTCGCGTGTATATCGATAATCAATCGCGCATATATATAGTGGCACGCAGTACATACACACGCGCGCGGTAAAAGCGACTATAATGCACACGCACACACAAGATAGAGAAACTCAGGGGTCGAGCGAGAGAGGCAAATAGTCTAAGAGCTATAAGAATGTACGAGCGAGGAATCTTTATTTAGTATTATAGCCTCTGCATGTTTCATCGACGCATTTATTATTGACCAACGTCCCTTATGTGCAAAAGTTGACTGAAAGCTATCGTAATGAACTCGGCGTATTTTCATTTCTGCCCTCGCCAACGTCCGAGTTTGTCCGAGACGGTCTCGATGCTATAAGCGCATGTAAATATAGAAATAATTCGAGATTTTTTTCTCCCATGTAAATGACCAGAATCCACTTGCAGCGCATTGCGGGCATCGCGAGCGAGGTCACTGCAGCCGTGCGACTCAAGATGAATATTCAAAAGAGCGCGTAAATCATGATTCAAATATTCATCAAACGGATCTGGAAAAAAAATATTTCTCCATTCGAGTACGGCGCGTCGTGATTTCGAAACGGTGCACGAGTGCGGCGGCCCCCACCCGAGTTAATCTCGGGCTGCGATTTGCGCGACCAGTCGCAAAAGAGGAGAAGCAAGTTTACTGACCCGCGCGATCGATTCGCGTCTGTCCGCGCAGAGTCAGGCTCGGGGGGTGCGGACTCGACTGACGATTGTAAAGTCGTCGTATGCTCGTCGATCGAGCCAAATTTGCATAGCAGGAAAAAATTGATCGGATTCCAGAAACGAACGGTCGACCTTACTATAGGTCGAGTTGGACAAACATCTCTGTTTGGATTTCAATTTGATGCGAAAAAAAATGATGGTTTTAAGATAATACAACCTTGATATAATCTTTTTTGGGTGGTGATGAAAATTTATTATCCTTATGAACTTGAAGAAGTCTTTATGGTGAATCTATTGACAAATTTCAAAAATATAATTTTTCAATGTATCTTTTTAACGATAAACGTTGCTGAATTTTTGGACCAATAGATAGTAAAGGACTCATATATTATTTATATTTTCAAATGAAAAATTTTTATTTTTTAATAATTTTTTTCTTTCTCTTTGTAACGAAATTTTTGAAACTCCAAAATTTCGCTAGAAAGTGCAAAAGATGAAAAAATTAATATGTAAAAGACCCATTGAAACAGCTATATTTCGGTGAAAAATTAAAAATTTCAATTGTTTATAAATGCAATGGAAATAGCAAGGCAAATTCTTGCTTAAATACATTAAAAGAAAATCGAGTTTAAGGTATAAATAAGCCCTTAAAGATAATATAAATGTTGACCCATTCATTGAAATAACACAATAATGATGCGAGACTATAGTTCAAAATACCCCTACCCGTGGCTCCAAAATCTCATTTGTTTTCTCTCGCTCGATCTCGGTTTGTTTATATTGTGCGGAATCAGTAGCTTGTGTGTGCTCGAATCGCGACTGCCTCGATCAAATAAATCGGTCCAATCTTTTTTTTTGTTCACTAAAGTCGGAAAAATGAACCGTCGATTCTTTCACGCCAATGCGGCATTGATTAGAAATCGTGTGTCATCGAGTAGAAATCGCCTACCGCGTCTATTAATACAGAGATCGCACCAGAGCATCATGCATGATTTCTTGAGTTATGGCCATAGTCGCCCGGATTCCTACACCAATAACGGGGTGAATATTACAATACTTTTACTCTCGTAATAGCGCGATAAACTTCATAGGTTATGTCTAAATTTTTCAAAGGTTCGTCCTGACGCTCTATCACGATTGCTTTATTACATTTATTACAGGAATAGGTAATAAACGACATTTTAGTTAATTGAAATCATTACAGTTAACCCTTTCTTTAATTAAAATTTTAATTAATTACTGTCGCATTTCTAGGGCCTCGGCCTCCCTTTTGGCATTTGGAGTAATAATGCTTACAGCAATTTTTGTATACATGCTAAACTGTACAGGACTCGTCAGTAGGCACGGCAGCCGACTCAGTAACCATTGGGTGCGAATTGCATGAAGACGTCTGGATGTATATTTTAAACGTATTATAAGTAAGAAGATCGCCACGTTTAGCAAGAGTGGCGAAGAGAGCGACGCAATGTGTAGGCACGCGAGGCGTCGCGATTTTTTCTATTGTTTTTATTGATTGATGACCGATTTTTTGTGTAAAACTAGTGAACTCCTTTGTATGACTTTTACCTTTAGATATTTCAACTCGATAACATGGAACGCGCGTGTACAAATTTTGTACTAAAAAAAAATTATAATACGTTATAATATGAGTTTGATCCATTATAATATATACATGCATATATAGTATGAGGATTTCAAATTTTCATCGATTATGTACGTATTAGGAATGCACCAAATACGTTTTGCCAAGCACCTGTAGCAGGTTGTATTTAACGTACATATAATAAAACGGAATGGTTATTGCAATTTGACGAAGCGTCTTTTTTCTCTAATTTTTTCCAATGCGCCACCAATAAAGCCCACATCCATTGGCACCTCTGATCGTTTATGTGTGTGTGTGTATGAATATTTGTACGGTAAATTATGAAAGCTCATTCGAAACTTGTGTGCATGTGCATATATGTGTCTGTGTGTGAATAACGGTGTAAACAGCCCAACAGAGCGAGCGAGAGAGAGGAGTACGACGAAGAGGAGGACGAGAAGGAAGGTATACCAGTCGAAAGATAAAAGCTTACCAAAAAAAAAAAGGCTAAAAGGGACAAGACTGCGTGCGAATCGATTAATCGTTTCGATAGCCAATGGTTTAATTAGGCTCTCTGTCTCTCTCTCTCTCTCTCTCTTTTACTCGCGCACGCGCTCGAGAGCGCGATTTATTCCTTGGGCGTCTCTCTACGAAAAATTCCGTTCTCCTTTTCGCTCTCGGCCTGCGAGATCGCGAGCTCGTACAGCGCGTGTCTATATATACTGGTCATATATAGGTGTGCATGTATAGAGGCGCACGCGGGAGATCGCTCGTAAAATCTTTTAACGCAATTCCTCGTCGACAAATTTATTAAACGACCTACCCCCTCGTTTCTTATCCGTGAGCGCGAGCGCATGTGCGGCCTTAGAACCAGACTGAAATGACCTTATTTACCTGCAACAGAAAAAGTATAAAAGGGGATTATTAGGTTATGTTTGCTTGTTGATGTTAAAATACCATATACACATTGTGCGCCTATATAATGTGGCCATATAATACGGAGAGAGGCGAGACTCGGCCAAGCTGCAAGTCTATAGTTTGCATGAGCCGTGCAAGGGCCGAGCCTATAAAAGTGACTCATATAACGACTTGGCTACATCGACAGCAACTGCAGCGCATGTTGCAGCCAAGACAAGTCACACTAATTAACGCTCGGAGCTCTCTTGGCGCGGTGCGGCCGAGATTGATAGGGAAGGACCCTGCGCGCCGTCTTGTACGTGCGCCTGCTCTTACGTAATTCCCCGCAGCCGATCTCTTGGCCACCGCCGAGCGAGAAAGACAATGCGCGCGACATGCTGTACAATACACGGAGACTCGCATGACACATAGACCGCACTTACAAATACCCGATGGAAATGTGTTAAGGTAATGACGTCTATATTTACGCGCGCACACGCTCATTAATTTATTATTCGCGAGAGAGCCGAGAAAAAATTATTACGCGCGTATTGCTTTGCGTTTCCTAGTCGGTGGCACTTGAATGCACTTGTCGTCGAGATGATTATTACCGATACATCATTGATTCGTTTCTCTCTTTGAGTTGTTGCTGCTGCTGCAACGTGTTGTTACTCTTTTTTCTTTCTCTCTCTCTCTCTCTCTCTCTCTCTCTCTCTCTCTCTCTCTCTTTGTCGAATCACACACACACAAAAGTCGGAGCTGTGTGCGTCGCAGCCTAGCAATATATATGCCGCTTATAGCATGTAATACCGGTAACGCGAGCTTTTTTTCTCGATCGCTCTCGGCGCGCGGCGATCCGCAACTTCTTCTTCTGCCGCGAGCGTATTACATCTCTGTGTAGTCATAAATCCTGATACTTTGAGCCGAAGCACTCGGCAGCGAGTGTATATATAATATCGGACGCGCGACCGAGCGCCAATCGATGACGTCTTTTTTTCGCGTCTCCTTTGTGAATTCTCTCTGACGACGGATCGACGATATTCGCTACCACTGACTCGCGCATTTTTTTTATTTCTTCTTCTTCTCTTTTTTTTTTATCTAGACAATTACCTAATCCGAAGATAGATCTAAGCGTCGAACGTTCGCTGTCCAAGTAAAAATTTTCATGACACGCTCGCTCTCGGTATACCTGTATGTGTTTGTATGTGTGTGCTGCACACTGCACCAAAGAGACCCGAACGTGGTCACGAGTACAGCTGATGTGCACATGTCCTATGTATGTACGCGCGCGGCTGTGGCTATGCAGCAGCGGTGCAATTACGTAAACTGCGAGAGATACTGCGTCATCGCTCGCACGCGTATATAGACGACTATGCGCGACCATCGTGTTTTCCCGAAAAATCGACCTTTCTCGGCCCACTCGTACCGCATAACAACTCAATTCGATCGCATCCGCGCGCTCGGTGCAGCGGTCGCTTCTCAAATACAAACAAATGCAGAGAGGTAGAAATTAAAAAAAAAAGGAGAAAAAAAGAAAAGAAAAGGAATAAAAAAAAGAAAAGGAAAAGGAATACAAGTCCTCCCCCTATATTGTTTGCGATGCTTGCTCTCCGGCGCGTTCCAGTAGTCTCGTAGCGCGCGCGCGGGGCACGGGCTGCACGGCGATTTATCTTCGTCGAGAGCTGGCGTACCTATATAGGTATATATGTGGTACACAAACGCGCACGTGGGAATCGCCGCCGACGACGGATTATCAGGATGCTTGCGTGCAAGTGTGTGTGTGTGTGCGTGCGTATTCGAGCAACACAAAAAAAAGTTTGCAAGCGACCACGGGTAGAAGGGGTAAAAAACGAAAGAGACGGAGAGAGAAAGAATCAGAAGAGAAACGAGAGAATCAAAAGAAAAGAATTGCATTTCGTATTTCGGTTAGTATGTGTGAAAATTTACATGTATATGGGTCTTTGCTCGGCGACGAGCGACACGGGGGAATATACACACAGATACACCTATATACAAACTCAGCCGAGGTACATATAACGATCCGCGTGCGCGCCGCGCGCGGCTAACACGTATTAAATGTCACTGGGACACTAATGAGATATGAAATCATTTGTAAAACATAAAACGGCCGATTATCATCGCGCTGGAATGAAACACGTTTTTAATGCAGTGAGAGAGAGACTCGCACGCATATAATCAAGTCAACAACCTATAGATACAGAGAGACAGGCCGAATGACTTATTACATCATATCGCTCGTTCGCGCGAGCACGCGGAGCTATATTATACACATGATCGCGTATCCCCATAGGTATTATAAATAATCAATCTGCGAGCGCGAAGAAAAAATAAATAAAAGAGCAAAAAAAAGCTGCTGCTCTTGAAAAATAAGAAAAATGCCTGCGCACACTTGTGCGCTCCTCTTTCTCTCTCTCTCTCTCTCTTACTCGCGAATACGCGATATAGACAGTCCTGAGCAACAGAGAGAGAGATTCTTAACCTCGGGCGCGCGTAACACATACCGCCCATCTCTTTCTTTCTCATTCTGTCTTTCGGCAAAAAAAGAGTATCAAAGGAAAGCTTCCGCGCGTGCTTTCTACCTCTCTTTCTCTGCCTGTATGTGTGCGTATATATGTGTATACGCGAGAGGAAAAAAGGTTTACATCGGCAGATCAGAACTCGGACGGCGATTCATCTTCTGGCAGCAGCGCGACGTGGAGTGTTCAGCGCTCCAAGCTTATACATACACGAGTGTGTGTATACGAATTGGAAAATGACGATAAAGCAGCAGCAGCAGCAGCAGCTGTGCACGACCTGTAACGCATTGCCGTGGCGCGCAATATTTCGAAAAATATAAAAGCCCGACGTACGCTCGACGGATCTTTTGACGCGTCGCATCCGCGAGCTGCTGCGCGGACGACTTGCGTAATGTCACTCTGCTACGTACTATATACCACCTCGCGAGAGAGCTGCAAGCGACGATAAATATGTATATAGCGCTCAGCGTGACCGCTTTTGCCTTTATTTTGCTACTATTTTTTTTCCTATTTTTTCCTTTTCTTTTTTTTTCGCAAAGGATATGTACCGTAGTATAGACTAGGCCGCGACGAGGCTCTACTACTGTGTGTACGGTCATTACCGTTCGCTCGCGCGCTTCAACATTCGTCGGAGCGTGTCCCTTTAGTTTTTCTTTTTTTTTTTTTTTTTNTTTTTTTTTTTTTTTTTTTTTTCAACATTGCCGTTGTGTGTTGTACGTTGGAAGATGACGACGATGGAGATGTAGGACATCCTAGGAAGATACGTTGAGTAAGATAAAAGCCAGCCAACAGCTTTGTTGGCGCGCTCGCGCTGCATTATACCTATGCGCACATTGTCTTGTGTTGTTTGACTCATCTTTTTTTTTTTTTTATAATTGCTCCGCGCGCGTTCGTCATTTTTTTTTTGTCACAGCTTTGCGCTATAACGTGGCTCTATACATCATATTGCGCAATAATAAAAAAGAAATAAAACAACAAAGCGAGAGGGAGAGAGGAGAGCGCGAGAGAATAGAATGTTGTACGTGATTTAATGAATTCTTCATTAAACGCATACTTCTGTCTTGTTTTCCGGACTTTTATATCGCGTAATTATCGATATATAGTATCTCTCGTCGTCCTCCGTATTGCACTGCACGCACAGTGGCAGCTATAGAAAAGTCTCTACACCGACTCGATCTATATATATGTTTTCCACTCGTATGCCTTCGACAATAGACGACGCACACGAGGCACTCGACTGTCAACAATAGTCACAAAGTCGGAGTCAAAAGAAGAGCGAGTGAGCGAGCGAGCGAGACAGAGACAGAAAAAAAAATAAGTCCAAGTTAACGCGCCGAGTTTTGTAATAATGGGACTCTTATGGCTCCGTCGCGCGCTCCAGAGAGAAACAGGTGCGTGACGTCAGGTGGTGGGCACAGCAGCAGTAGCAACAGCAGCAGCGATCGCTTGTCAGACTCTCGCGCTTAGTAGGATATATACGACGATCGTTTGTGGATTTTCGTGTCAGAAAAGCCGAAGCGAGGAGGATTAAGATTTAGCCGCTCGATTAAATCCATATCTCTCGCGTTCGATTCTCTGGGTCGCTCGCGTCGATGAATAAAATTGTATAGGTATGCGTAATCAATTCGTAGCGTTGAGTCTCGTTAATCCGAATGTTTCCGTATAGTCTCTCGTGCCTCGTGATTTTTCGCATAAATTCCCAAGTACGCGGCCGAGTTCAAGAGTACCCATAATGATTATATGCATGCGTGTAGATGTGCGAGTGCTTGTGTATGTGCGTGTCTTCTGCACTGCG